TATGTTGATGATTTTATAACTTCTGTAATCATTTATTAAAATTCATTATTCTTTTAAAATAGTAGCTATCATCATTGTTACTATATTATAATAATAATATACCTTTAAAAGTTGTTGATGATTTTGTTGAATAAAAAGAATGTTTTATTTTACAAAATGATGATGAATAGTTTATGATTCTTATGAATTTATTAATATTATTAACAGATGAAAATTTTATCATTTTTTTGAAATTGTCTGTCTGATTATGTGTAACTAAAAAAAAAATTTCAGATCTGTCGAAACATTTTTTAAAATTTTCAATTTTTCAATTTATATATAAAATAGAAACAAATGGCACCTAAAATCGATCCCAATGAAATAAAAATTAGTTGAGTATATGTACATAACTGATGGTTTTTTATTTTAAAAGAAAAAAAAATTTAAAAATCCATAATTAAAATTTTTTTTCAAATAAAAAAAGTTTATCTTAGAGCAACAGGAGGTGAAGTTGGTGCGTCTAGTGCTTTAGCTCCCAAAATTGGTCCTCTTGGTTTGGTAAAAACTCTTTACATTTTATTTTTTTAAAAGGGAAATAATTAACCAAAAAAAATCAATAATGAATCAAACAATAGGCACCAAAAAAAGTAGGAGAAGATATTGCAAAAGCAACATCAGATTGGAAAGGTTTACGTGTTACTGTTAAATTAACAATTCAAAATCGTCAAGCTGCAGTTTCAGTTGTACCCACAGCATCTACTCTAGTCATTAGAGCGCTTAAAGAACCACCAAGAGATCGTAAAAAAGAAAAAAATGTCAAACATTCTGGTAATATCGCGCTTGATGATGTTATAGAAATCGCTCGTACATTACGGTACAAATCATTTGCTAAAAATTTGAAAGGAACTGTAAAAGAAGTTTTGGGAACATGTTTTAGCGTTGGATGCACTGTTGATGGGTTAGTTATTTGTAATTTTATATATATAATTTATTTAACGTTATTCATATTATTTTATTATTATTTATTACTTGTATATGTATTGATTATTATAATTATTAGTCAAGGTCCTAGAGATTTATGTGCATCAATTGACTCTGGCGAAGTTGAAAGTAAAAAAATTTAATATAGTTATATGATTCTATATTGATTTAAAATAAAAATTTACTAATAAAAAAAATTTTTTTTTTTTGACATAGTTCCCGAAGAATAATGAAGATGTGAAATAAAAATTTATTATTATGAAATTTGGGTTTTTTATATTTTTATATAGTATATAATAATGATAATAATTTATTGCCAATAAAAATTTTTAAAGGTTCCTTGAAAAAAATGCGATGCATGTATGGTTACCAAGAAATAAAATTAATTTAATAATAATAATATTTAAATTTTCTCTAAGTTCAAGAGTTTAAATGAAATTCTTGCTGGATGTATAAGAATAACATTAATTTACAACATATATATATTATGGTTTCATTAGGATCTTTGAATTTATACATGTCAATAAATAAATAAAAAGTTAATATTAATAATAATAATAATAATAATAATAATAATAATAATCATAACAACAACAATAATAATCTATTTATAATTAAACATTAATTATTGAGAAAAACCGACTTGATACAAATGTCCAGTGCATCATTATCTCTGTGTGTAATTGAAATTTAAATATTTTATTAATTCAAGAAATTACACAAGCTCCAATCCTATTTGTCTACGAATTATATGAATCAATGCCCGCCTCATAAATTGTTCTTTTGCAAGAGTTCGAATATTCTAATAACATTTTTAAAAAATGGATCTGACCCTATAACAAAACTTGATAATGAATATCCAGATTGGTTATGGGAATTATTAGATGAAGAAATCGTCGAACAAAAAAAATTTGGAAGATAATAAATTTTCTAGAAAATCACATCGAAAAGAACGAAGAGAAAAAATTAAAAATGATAATTTCGATAGGAATAGGAGAAATTAAATATAATAGATTGTGCGATTATTATTATTATTATTATAATAAATATATCTACAAATTTACAAAAGAAAAATTTTGTTTGAACGTCAAATATATTAGCTGTATAATAAAAATGATTAAGTTTGCAAAGAGAAAAAATATAATTGACTTTTTTATAAGCTCCATAGATTAATTACACACATCTTTTAAAAAAATAAATAAAAAGTTATTGATCAAATTCCTTTTTTAAAAAAAATTTATATTATCATTTTTAGATTTTTTTTTTTTTACAAGAAAAAAAATTGTTCATGATCTTAAAAAAAATTACAAAATCCCATCCTTGTAATTAATTCCTTCCTAATTTAAAAATAATCAATTTTTTTTTAAAAAAAAAAAAGAAAAAAAAACCAATTGTTCATGATAATTGTAAAAAAAAAAAAGTGAAAAATTATTCAATTGTCTTGATTTTGGTTTAAAAACCTTTATGATTTTTTTAAAAAGAAAATTCAATAAATGTGTTGTATGTATTAAGAAAGTTTTGTATATTTTTTTTTTTTTAATAATAAATAGTAGTAATAAATAAAATCATGAAGGAAAAAAGAGATTCCTTTTTAATTTTTTAATTTACCCATCTGATTATTTTCAGGTTGTGGTACATAATGAGGCTCCATCATCATAGGCCTTTGTCCCAAAATTACACCATTTGGTGGTACTTGAGGTACCATTTCATGTGGATATCTCATCATTTGTGGTATTGCTATATAATGAAAGATGTAAAATATCAGTTTTTATTTTTATCACAGACCACAATCACAAAAATGATTAAAGGAATTTATATGTACCATGTGGGTTTTGATATGGCTGATATATTTGTGGATGCATTCCAGCTGGAACCATTGGTGTACGTCCTGGAGATGGAAATCCTTGTGAACCAAAATGCTCTATTTAAATTATATTATTTATTATTATAATACTTTGTTGTGTTTATAAAATCAATATTCGTATATGAAATAATTAAATAAAACTTACGTGGAACGATTGTTTGCATTTGATTATAAATAGCTGTCAAAACAAATTTCATGCAAATTTTATTAATTACATATGTATGCCGCTTTAATTGAATGTTATAATTCAATGAGATATTTAAATATAAAACATACGAGGGGCACCATTTTGCGGAATTGGTGGCGTAGGAAATGATACACCAGGTACAAACTATATAATGGATATAAATGTGCACAAGTCAGGATATAAAGCATTATTATAATTTTTCCAAAAATGATTCAACATACCCCTTGTTGCATATATGGCATAGGTGTAGGTTGTTGTAAAGGCATCTGTGGAACTACACCATATTGTGCTGCATTTGGATATCGGAAAGGTGGTGCAACAGGATAACTTGTGAATCCATAGCCTGGATTGACCGTTGCTTGAGGATATATTTCTTCATCATAATTAGATGTGACAAAGTGGTGTCTGAATGGTCTTGTGCCATAATTCCAAATTGGTGCAATTGAACTTGGATTTACTAATGGTTTTCCTTTATGAAAAGGACTAAACCCTTCTTTAAGTGTTGCTGAATTCTTTTTTAATTGTCGATTTCCAAAGAAAGGTGACTAGTAAAAAAATAAAATTAAAAAAATTATATAACCAAAATGATGATAATAATAAATTATTAAATTTTATACATACTGAATTGGGTGATTTTTTATCAGTATTGGTAACAATCTATTATATTGAGATATTTATTATATTATAAAAAAATGTAAATCTATAAGTTAAATCAACCCTTTGAACAATATATATAAATATTACATATTAAACAAATATAAATAAACAGGGTTGCTTATAAAGATTATTACTTCAATCAACCCATACCGGAGTGAAACTTGCCGCATTAGGATTTGGTTTCCATTCTGACGCCTTAACATTAAATTTGAATTGAGATGATGTTGTTGATGATGGTGATGATGATGATGATTGGTTGTTATTATTATTAGTATTATTATTTCTTGAATGTGGAAACTGTGGTGGTGCTTTATCAGCAACAGAAATTGATTTATCAGTTGCTGATAATGATGTCGTTATCATTGGTGATGTTGATGATGATGATTTATTATCATTATTTATTAATGTTTTTGACTCTGGTTGAGAAAATGATTTTTGCGATTTATCATCTTCAAATTTGATTTCTGGTTTTGATTTTAAATCTGAAATCTTGGATGCGGTTATTTTATCTTTGGATGATTTATCTTTATTTTTATTATTATTAGTATTATTATTATTGTTCTTATTATCAGTTTCAACACCTCTATCTAGTGCCTTATCTTTTGTTTTTTCATTGTTCGTAGTTACAGATTTAGCTGCAAGTTTTTGACGCTTAGATTCATCATTTGTCAAAATTGGTATAAGATCTTGTGGTAATGGTGAATTTAACTATATAACAAATATTTATTTTATTGTTAATGTTGAGCCTTTGTTAAAAAAAGAAATATTTATATTTATATTTAATCAATTAAATGCCTTAAAGTTTTGACCCCATTTAAGTAATTCGGCAACTTTTCCATCCATTTCTTTTTTGAATATAGCTTGTTTTCTTTGTTGAAGCCTTTCTTTTTCGTTATTTGCAAATTGTCGGAATGTTTTGACAATTTGTGTTTCCATTTGTGTTTCGATTTTTTTCCCCTCAGAGCTTTGATTATTATTGTTTCTCTATATTATATGTATGTGTGTGTGTTTGATTTATTAAATTAATATTTATTTAACAAAATAAAAATAAAAATAAATGAACACCCTAGGAACCTTAGTAAGTAAAACTTCAATTGGTTCTGTTATACGGAATTTAGCCAAACTATTAACTTTTTGTACAGGTGCGGTTGATTTATTTGTGGTAGCAGTTGTATTGGTTACTGTCGTGGTTGTGGTCCCGTTGCTTAAAGGTTCTGACTTGTTATTGTTGTTATCAGGTGATGATGGCTTTATTTCTTCTGTAGGTTTTGATTTAGCAGTAGTTGTGGTGGTGGTGGTGGTAGAAGTAGTATCTTTAGAAGATTCTTTAGCTGGCTCTGGTTTATCAATTATTTGT